AAAATATATACAAAAATAATATATGATATCTGGATTAAAAATATGAAGAGATATGGAGGTGTAAAGGGAACTTGATGCTTTTCCTGAGCCATGTGAATTCACTAAAAGCTCTCCAAACCTTATGTCTGCTTTTGGCTCAAGCTATTCCCTCTTACAGCCACCTTCCAATTGGCCTTGGGTTCCAGGAAAGAGAAGACTGACTGAGAAGCATTTGCGTGGAAGATTAAACAACCCCTCACATAGGAGATCACCCACAGGAAGAGGTCATTCCAATGGTAAACTCCTCCAAGGATGAAGACTAAGATAAAGTCCACCAGACGCCCCCATGACTTGGGACTGTTTTAACTATGCATACCTTGCTTACTTTCTGCCTTCATCTTCCCCTATGTTACAAGGTGAATGTCTGGCAAGTACCCCATCATGTGACTAAAGCTATACTAACGTGCTGTCTTCCCAGGATTGCCAGGTAAGGCATCTCTTTTCTCTGCTCATCACCCTGTCTCTTTCTTTGGTATGTGGGGGTCAGCAGCCAGATCTTAAACTTTGGGCTTGGGGGTCTAATAACCCAGTTTCCACAGCAGACACTTACTGGCCTATTAGTCTTCACTAAAATGTGGTGACAGAAGTAAATGTTTCCCACAGAGGTGCAGAAAATAGTTAGACAGGTTCCTGACAATATAAATATATTCTTTATGAAGAACTCTACTAGTAGAGTTCTTTTTTCTTTTTTTCTGAAGAAGAAGCCAGGGACTTTGATAATTCTTGTACGATAGACTTCTAAGCATGGGAGCGAAGTGCTTGGCCCACACTCCAGGGCTGAGTGAGCACCTGCGGCTCTCATGGCAGTCAGTAGCAGAGCTTATCTAATTATGGCTGCAAGGGAAGATGATGGTCAAAGCGGCACCCTTCTTGAAATCAGAATGAAAGTAGTAGTAGAGCTGTTGTTGACCAAGTATTTCAGAATGAAGTTTTCACCACTTGGGAGATTCTACCTCAGTAAAAATGATGTTTTAAGTACTTCTCAAAGACATTCCTTTAATTTCTTATGTTGTATGTCAATTTTAGAGCACAATTCAATTTTTTTTTGCTATTGTTGGTTATGAGGCTCTAATTTGGGGCCTGGGCACTGTACCTGAGTTTTTTCCCTGCAGGCTAGTGCTCTACCACTGTGAACCACAGTGCCATTTCTAGTTTCCTGGTGGTCAACTACAGATAAGAATCTTACCCATTTTTCTGCCAGAACTGGCTTTGAATCATGATCCTCAGATCTCAGCATCTTGACTAGCTAGGATTACAGGTGTGAGCTCCCAGTGCCAGGCTGCATAATGCAATTTTATATTAGGTTAAGTTATGCTTATATTACAAACAAAAAAATCTTTATTCTCACAGTTGGATAACTTGTATCTTCAAGTAGGTTTTTCTAGAAAGTATTTTGGGTGATATATTCTTGAGTAGGTTTTTTCTAGAATGATTTTATGGTGACATAGTCTAAACTCTTGTATCATTATGTCATTTCCATCGCTTTCCATTCATAAAACAATTGTAACCTTGCCCTAAATAATGACTGGTGAAATTACAGCCTTTCCCCCTTGGGAGTGCCGTTGGCTACCACCATTTAATTTGGTAAAGAAATATAGTTAGTTGGATAGTATGTAAAGGGAAAATGAAACACTTTGTTCTCTACTACATATCCTCTGTGATCACAAAAACAACCACTGCTTTTCCCTAAGAAGACTCAAAATTATTTACCAGATTCCAGCTCTCTATACACCTAACATCTTCTCCCTCCGCTCTTTGAACTTTTTTGTACCTTTACTTAGCATTTAGAAAAGGCTTATCGTATTTGTCTTCCACATTGCTGACATGGTTTTGCCACTAGCTGTGTAGATTTAATTCAGCTGCCGCACTTTAAAATTTCATAATTTCCTCCATTATCATTTTCTCTTGTCCTTTTCTCTTTTGATAGTTCTTTTTTAATAGGTTGCTGATTCTATTTGATAATAATCATATCTTCTTACATTTTACCCAGATGACTAGTCATCTTTTCTATGCTTTTTTCCCCCTATATTTCTCTTTTGAATATCTGGGAGGATTTTTTTTCTTCTCTTTTTTCCTGATAACAGGTTAAAGTTTCATTGTTGCATCTTTAACATATTTCAGTGACAGGAGATTGATGGAAAAGGTATTAGAGAGAGCAGAAGTTATGAACAGGACAGTCATCACTGTCCGCAGGCAGTACCTAGAACCGATCAGATTTTTATACAGTTCGGTTTCATAAAACTGAGATATGATTTTATTCTCTGAACAATCCTGGCTCCAAGTTCTCTCTATGTTCTTCATACTCGGCAGTACTGTCCCTTTACCCCCACCCAAACTTCTCCCTGTGGTGGTGGATATTTGCTATGAATCCCTATAGAAAAAAAAATAAAAGAGATATGGTGAGATACAAGAAGACAGGGGAGATGACAACACTATGTGTTAAAAAGGGAAATCGGAATCAATAGAAATGATAAGGATTCCTGCCTCCCAAAATGCAGTGGCTTCAATGACCGACTTGTGTATTTCCCCAGGACTTTCTATCACTAGATGGACAGAGACAGAGATCTCGGTGGGAGTTAAGACAGAGTGAAGACAGAGTGAAGACAGAGGTCAGAGACAACACTGTTGAACTCAAATGCTGAAGACACGCAGCAGAGGAACAGCTGTTCCATCTTTGGGAAACTTCTTTAAGCTGATGACAAAGGACAGACTGGGACAAAATTCTGGCTCTTTTTCTTTACTTTTTCTCATTCACTAGCTCGTTGCATTTTTAAAATGAAATAGCATAAGTGGTCCATCAACTCTGCTTTTCCAACCTTCCAAATAGTTGCCTAAAATTAGTTCTGTTAAAGATAGTATACAGTATAATAATATATTATTATGTTAATATGTTCCGGTGCTCTGTGGAGTACCGTCATTTTCCATTGTCTGTGTGTTCATAGATGGCTTATCATGAGCTTGGGGATAGCTACTTAGATGCGGCCATTCAGCTGCCATTTGCAGTAGATAAGTTCAGATGCACTTTATGGAATAATTCTAGCCCTAACCTCTCCAGCCTGTTTCTACTTTATCTGCACACTTGTCTAGGTTTCTCAGTTGGAGAAGGACGCTAGATCCTTCCTGGCACTTCCAACTCGTGCTTGGCTACCGAGTCCTTCCTTGATCTATAACCCCTGTGAGAGGAGCTACCCCTTCAGCTCTTCCATGGGAAAGGGAGATTCTTACTTGTCTCTAGTAGGAGTGGTTCTTGGTGTCTATTGGTCTGGAATAGAACCAGGTTGAGGAGAATGACTCAAAATCTTTGCTGCCTTCAAAGACACAGACTCTGTTCACTTTTACATGGCAGCCTGATTGCCCCTTCTGGGAATTTTCCTGTGGGTCAGGATCCTCTATTCCTGGCACTAGACTCAAGTGGGGACAATCCTCTTGGTCCTGACTTACATGAACTCATTCTTGCAGTGGACTCTCATACCAACGCCCCGATTCTTTACGTAGCGCATCTCCCTTTGGCCAGCATCCACCCAGCTGTCTGATTTCTGTGGATCCATTTCCTCATTCCGCTACCTGAAACATTCACCTTCTTGTTTTTCTTTCCATCTTTGTTGCTTAGATCTGGACCCATTTAATAAAACTCAATTTCCTCACTAGCTGTCCCAGAAATTCAACCCCCATCTCAACTTGCAAGTTAAAAACTTCAACTTGCTTTGTTCTAGATTATTTGTGCAGCTATTCCTATGCTATCCTAAAAACCAAGGTTGACTTATGCACTTATGGCACCCTGGCTGGAATACATCAAGGTATCATCTCTGGGGACCTTAAAGCCTAGCAGAAAGGTCTAATACTACCAAGCACTCTATGTGCCACTGTGAGCATAAAGCAGAAATGTGACATTTCATTCTCGAGTATAAACATCAGCACTTGAAGAATGCTAGCTATGAAAAAAATATCAGTTACCTGAGAGAGTCTTAAAGGTATTTAGCACAATACAGAATTCAGCATTTTTAAAGTCATTGTAAGTCTGTTTAGACAGCAGAGACACAAATGATTTAATTAGTCCTGGTCCCAAGATACTCTTTTCAACCAATAAGCTCTCAAATTCTTCTGTCTCGTTATATGTTACTCATTAGCATAAGCACATTTTATCAGTTACCCCAGATAGTTTCTAGACCTGCAAACATTTGAAAGGCCATAGACAGGTAGGCTAAAGATGAGGATGAATCTTCTTTAAATCAAATAGGAATCAAAAGAAGCAGTGATAAGCAGAAGAGATAAAGAGACAAGAATGGCTATAGTTCTAAGCTCAAGCCATTGGCTCACTACCCAGCTGTCCACAAGAAATATATTTCAAACCACAAAAAGACAATGTGATTTGTCATTTCAAAGTCTCTATCAGTCCTATGTAAACATTAGAAAACCAAGATAGTTGAGATGAACTTCACCAATATATTTTCACTTAACCTCAATATATCTAGAATGCTAACCATGTAATTATTAAATCATTTGCATGTGCATGTGCACTAGGAATTTAAGGTCTTATGTATAATTTCCATTTCCATTTTGGCTAGTTATATTTAAAATGCTCAATAACCAAAGAGGCTCAGTGGCCACCACAGTAGACAGTGGTAATCTAGACCCAGAACTTGGTCTTAATCCCAAATCCTGAAAAGTGATGAACTTGTGGACAATCCACAGTCTTGTCGTACTGGGTGAAAGGTGTATTGACAGAGGCAGGTAATCAATAAGTGAGATCATATGTATATATATATATATATATATATATATATATGTATATATATAATATATATGCATTACTCACTTTATGTCTACATATATTTCAAAACATGTTTGACATGATAAATATATACAAAATATAAATTTGTTCACTCAAAAAATTACAAAAGGAATGATATGGAGAAATGAAGAATTAGTATGCAAGGCAATGATAGATTGCTTTCTCTTACCTACACAAATCTTCTTTTATGTGAAGGGAAATCAATTCCTTAGGAATATGGAAAGAAAGTATGCTCTCAGACATCTGCTCCCGGATACGCATCCACTTATTGTCCGACGTGGGAAATCGATATAATTTGCACACTGGATTCTTTAACACTAAGGAGAAGCATGCAAAACAGCAGGAGTCAAATCATAAACATGTTCCTCAGACACAAAGAAGTCATTAAGTAAGGTGGAACTGTACATTTTAACTTTGTAAAAAATTTACTATTTATAAGAACCTACTGGTATATATTTGAATTTCTTTGAAGTTTTGCTTTGGGGATCATAATTTTTTCAGGAGCTTTTGAAAGTTTCTGCTATACTCAAGAAAAGATATATCAAATTCCCATTTATAAATTCAGCTAGTGTGACTCTTCTATTTAGCCCCTACTGATTTCTTCCTGTTTAAAATTTTTAATTTAACTTATGTACCTTATGTGTAGTCATGTTTTCTAAAGGTAACTGTAGATGTAATGTGGATAGAAATACAAGTACATACACATAATACACACTTAGAGTTTTATTTATAAATTTATTATGATCAATCCCTGTCACCTTTACTTGTATAAGTGGCAACAGATAATCTTATTCCAGAAATTCTTCAAAGTCTTCCTAGTAAAAATTGTATGTCAGGAAGTTTTATTCCTTTCCCTTCTTATTTACTGAAATTCAAAATATGAAGCATATTTTAGGGTGTCAGTGAATCAATACCACACTTTCTTGAAGCCACATAGTATCAAAACCAAGTTAAGGAGACGAAAGAAGCTCAAGATACGGTAGGGTGGGCAGTGATTGGAGGAGACAGGGTGATGGAGGCAAAGATTTTTTTAAAAAATTCAGAAGCAGAGTGTAGGGTCAGATGTTAAGATAATATTTGGCAAGAACAAATCAAGACCCAAAGTGAATAAGACTTGATCTCAAAAAAATAGACAAGGCATGGTTGCACATTCCTATAACCCCCACTACATGGAAGACACAGGTAGGAGAATTGTGGATTGAGGTCAGCCTGAGCAAAAAGCACAAGACCCTACCTGAAAATAACCTAATGAGAAAAATGGGATGCAGGTATAGCTTGAGTGTAGGGTTCTCTGAGTTCAAACTTCAGCACTACACACACACATCACTTGTCTATCTTAAGGCAGATGTTTCTTCCAATGCTACTGTTCCATGCCTGCACCAAAGTTTAACAGGCAATGTAAAAGATCAGAAAGATCTTTGGATTTTTTTTCCTGGCCTTTTGTGGAGCAATAATTATATTTTAGAAAATTGGTATTTTAAATAATGTCCAGAACTACGAAACTATTTTATCTTTTGATCCCCAATCAAATATTTCACCTTTGTATTTGTTATTTGTGTTTTCATTTTAACACTGCTTCTGTGTTCTAAATATAAACCTTTGTGAAATAGCTAAAGCAGAATCCAAAGGCGGTTTGATTAATGAGCTCTAGACTTCTCTAACCGCCAGCTACACATTAACCAAAGACAGTATGGGAATGCTCCTGTTTCTTGATGCAAAACAAACACACACTCAGGAAAATGAATCATGCAAACATATCCCATGAATATTTCCTTCTTAATGTTCACGTTAGGGATGCTGCTCCTTTGAGAGTCACAGGTCCTCAGCACTGGTGGTAAATTAAGTGTACTTCTCAATGTCTCATTAGAGATACAAGGTGCTCCAAGTTTGCATTGGAAATGTCCCCCAAAGGATTCCATGTCAAAGACTTGGGCACCTGCCTGGGGCACTGTTGTGATGTTTAGGACTGGGAGGTCTTTGGGAATGTGCCACTAAAGTGGACACTGAAACCTTGGCCCTTATCTCCTCCCTCTCTGTTTTGGTAGCTACCTCTGTCTCTCAGTCTTCTTCTTTCTCTTTCTCTCTCTCTGTCTCTCTCCTCCTTTTCCTTGTCTTTCTCTTCCTTCTCCTCCTTTCCTTCCTTCTTCCCTTCCTATCCCCTTTACTTCCCTCCTCCCCCCTCTCCCTTCTTCTCCCCCTCCTCCTTCCCCTTCCCCTTCTCTTTTTTGCAGGTGAATTCCACCATGAAACTTCCTGCCATGATAGTTCACGTTGCCACAAGCTCAAATCAACAGAACCCAAGTGAGTCTGTACTGACACTTGGGAAACTCAATTCACAGTAAACCTCCTCAATTCCTCTTCAAGATGATTTCCTTGTGTTTTTGTAGAAAGATAGAAAGCTGACCACACCACGTGGGAAAACCCACTTCCCAACTCCATTTGACCCAGCCACATTCCCTCTGAGCACCTACTAGCTCAGAATCAAAGACATGTAGTACACTTCTTAAATATATCATATAATGCAGCATAATTGTTTTTAAAAGGAACACGATCTGACTTTAATCAGCATCTAGTCTGCTGCACTGAGTACCAACAGACCAGATAAAGTGATCTCAACTCAAAATTCTTGCCGTGCTGATGGCAGAAATACTTCTGGATCTTCACCTAAAACACAGGGGTGGTGCCGTGTGCACAGCAGGCCACACAGGATAAACGCATCGGCTTTCCTCACCCAGTCTCCTGAACAGCAGAGATGCAATTCCGCTTGAGCCATGTGCCCGAGCAGAGGACTGTGTGAATGACTTGGCCCCACTCTCCACTATGCCAAGCTTTTGTGTTTTTCTAAGCAGGACTGTGGGCTCATCCCCTTACCAACTATGTCATCGCCAGTCTGTCTTCATCAAGACAGATCTGTATGTGTATTCTGGTCTCCACCATTAGAATATTTTCTCGAAAGAAATGTCAAAAATACCACACATGACAGAGACCACCAAGGGAAAAGTCTTTGCTCTATCTGAGAACACATCATGGTCTTGAGATGATTTGATCAGGGTAAAGTTACAAAATTGGCTCTGATCTTGATGGATACGTTTTGCCTTGATTTCCACCCTTTGACATGAACGCAGGATGGCAAGGATGTGACAGAGTTACATTCTCCCCGCAAGGCAATGCCACTGTCATAGCTCTATTACTTCTCTCGGGTCTGCGATGGGAACCTTTAACAAGGCTGCACGCCACCTGCATTTCCGTGAGATTCGGCAGTTGTAAAAGCCACCAAACTGCAGGGAAGCTGAATCATTCACAGTACGGATGCCAAGGAAATGTACGACAAAACCCTCACAGCAGAACGCACAGAAGGACTACTGTTCTAGCAACCCGGGGCAGGAAAGGTAAACCAGAGAGACCCCAGGGATACTTTTCTCTTTTCTGTTTCTGTCAATAAGAGAGAGCCAGGACATCAGCGAGGTTGTCACAGTAAGCACTTTGGAGATCTAGTTCAGGGTGTCTGTCTCAGAGATCATCAACAACTCCAATATCTATATCCTTCACCAGGCTCTCTTCCATCAGAGGCCCGTCTGTGGTTATCTTCACACACTTCCTTTCTTTCAGGATGTGGTGGACGTGGCATATGTAAATAGAATCTGACTTGAATGGAGATAGGCCTTACAAAATCACCACTTTAACGGACTTGCAGGGTCTTGCGGAGAACTCATTCATTCTGTCCTTTTAATTACGCAGTTGTTTCATTGTCTCATTATTCAGCTGAATGTAAAACCACGGTCTATTCTCTAAGTGCTCCATTAGATAAAGAATAAGACCTTGTAATCCCATTAGAAACAGAGGCTCTCTCATTTGTCCATGAAAAGATCATAGATTTATGTGCATCAGAAACATAAGTTGACCCTTTTAAGATTGGACAAGGACTGAAAAACCTAAACAGGGATCTTTAACAGCATCCTAAGGATAGCTATGAGAAAAGAGCGGCCAAGAAAGACACTTGAGGAGTCTGGAGAGCGCATCCACGAGACTTCCCTTTCACTCAGGATATAGGCAAGAGAAGGGCTCAAGACTACAAGGACATCTGCAGGAGTGATTTCCATGGTGCATTCCTTTGAACAGTTAACAGGTTTAATACAATGAATACCAGAAAGCTGAAATATGTCTTGTCTGAGGAGTTTGGGCTTAAGGGGAAGGCAGGTAGACAAACAGAGAGAAGAGTGTATCCAAATAGTCCTAGTAACGTACATATTTGAACATGAAAATTAGAAACTTGACTCCTGGTGCTGGCCAGTCTCCCTGTACTCAGGAGGTAACAGGAAAGATGCAATGTCAGATCTGATGCTACAGATGGAGAAAGTCACTCAGCACGCAACAGCAGGAGGAATCTTTTTGGCAGAACGCATTCGCTTCCCAGATTTGGCTTCCTCCATGGGCCAAGTAGAATTTTACCAAAACAAGTGAAGAATTAATGACTCGAGAGACAATCACTATCTCAAAAAGAGATTTCTTTTAAAGTTTTATCTCTCAGCAGGATTCCTGCCTATAAATGGTAACTCCTAAGAGGGGAAAAAATAAAACTGTAAATGACAAAAATTTGTTATGTGTCACCACATAAAACTGATTGAAATGAAAAATGTTTATGAAATGTTTAAAAAGAGAAAAATCCAGAGCAATAAATAAACTCTCTACTTCAAATATTTGACAGACAGGCAAAAGGCCGTCAGAGACTTTGTGACCATTGAAATTCAAAGAGACTGACAATCCCCAACTTGGACCCTAGTCTTTTGGAGCTTGTGGACTGTCCTTTATTATCAATACCATAAGAGACCATAAATCCTTACTCACCTATGGGTAGTAGACAAGGTGCCTCTGTTAGTGCGGCTTAACAAGAACACTTAACACAGGAACCTGGGAGAGCTAACCCTACCACCAAAGCTTCTCTACATTCAAAACTAACTTCCTCAGCCTCCTTTGCCCAGTATTGATGAGTTTTAAGCTGTCCTATTGTCATTTTACTTCAATGGATCAGAAAATAATGAAGGAATGAAGTCTCCTATTATTGTTGTGTGAGTGGTGGTCCTAGGGCTTGAACTCAGGGCCTTGGCACTGTCCCTGGACGCTTTACTCAAGGCTATCTGTCACTGTACCACTGGAGCCCCAGTTCCACTTCCAGCTTTCTCATGGACTTTTCGGCCGGGGCTGGCGTCCAGCTGTGATGCTCAGCTCTCAGGAGTAGCAGGCTTCCAGCTGTAAGCACTTGGCTTGACATCTCCTATTTTAACATCTTTTTTTTATATGAGTTATGTAATTTAAAAATCAAAGTAAAGATATACTTTCCAGATCCAATACTTGGTGTCTTCTAAGTGTCTATTTGTTTTCTCATACAACTAAGGCAAGAATAGATCTTTCTTATGGAATTGTAAATTCTGCCCTAGTGCTCTATTTGCAATCTCTCCTACTCTCTATCTCCTAGATTCCCAAACACACACACACACACACACACACACACACACACACACACACACACACACACACACACACAATGTGCAAGATAAACAGACCAGGGAAAGAATAAGACCTTAAGGGCAAAGTGGTTTGGCTTTTTACAATAGATAAGCAGAATTCTGGAATTATAAATGAAACCTCTAGAGATAGAAATAGAAGCATGAGGTGCTGCACGAATATGACATTCCCTCCCACCCACCCAGTAAGTACTTCATAACTCACTCAACACCAGCAAGGTCCACGGCACACATTAATACGGAGCCTTGAGAAGAATGTCAATAGCTCCTTTTCCCTATGCATTAAAAAAACAATTCCACGTGGGAATCAATGTATTCATGATAAAGCTGCTGAGTTCAGATAGATAAATAAACAGAACAAAAGACTAAGGTACACACAGGCCAAAGTCATACATATTCCATACCTGCGCAATGCAGTCTTTATTTTGAATGGAGATATTTTATGGCTAGTGCTTAGATTTTACTTTTGAAACTTTTTAAAGAATCTAGCCTTCTGGGTACTGACTTTCATCTGATCTTTCCTAATATCACTCAAAATAATCTCTTTTTTTCCTTTCAAAAGACCTTCAGAGCAGAGTGGGTTATTACAGCCAAGACTGTCATCTCCATGAAAATAGAAGAGCAATAATCGATCTTCCCTTTACCAAGTGAATGGGCCTCAATTGCTGAATGTAGCTGCCCCCATGGATTCCAGGTGCTTTTCTTTCACCTCATTGCAGTGTATACAGAATACCTAGTAATTCAGTAACCCGAAAAGGTCCATGTGGCTGCTAACACTCACACTTCACAGATTGTGGACCCACATATTAGGATTTAAAGATTTAATTTTCAATTTATTATCTCTGTCTCTTCTTCTAGCCATAAGATATTTGTTTATTAGGGAATAAAGTTCTCTTGCCCTTAGCAATTTATTTTTAACAAACCAGTTCCTTAAAATTTCATTTGCTTTTGGTGTGTATTAAAAAAATGGCACAGAAGCCACATGAACAAACCTTTAAAAATTACCTTATCATTATAGTGCAAATGTCTTCTGTGTTCCTCCAAGTCATTTGAACTACATTCAACATGAGCTGAATATTTATCACACTCAATTTATTTTTTCCTCCCCAGACATTCAGTAAATGAAATAGATTATCTGAATATTACAGTAAAACACTGAGAGTTAAGTTTCAGTTGAGGCAGACTCTTGGACAGCAATTTAGATGTCCAATGCACTGAGGATTCCTCAGCTGATACTGTTCAATGCTTTAATTCCTGTGTGATATGAACAAAGCCAACATGCTATCTCTTGTTCTCCATTTCACATTTCTAGATGCCTCCTACAAGGAAGCACTGATCATAGTTCAGGGGTTGTATATCATCAAGAGTTTGAAGTTCTATATGTTTTAGTAATGTGCTTTTCATGCCATCTATGGCATTACTTAAATGTGGAGCATTTAACAGGTCAAGACAAAATAGTAAGACTTACATTATGGTGACAGCAACTTCGTAGCTTTTTAGTATTATAAATACAAAGACCTCAGTAGCAAAACCCCATTTCAGTTCTGTTCATTTTTTCCTAGGGGATTATTGAACTATTATCCTAGGAACACTGAACCATTTCCTTGTCTGTGAAATGTCAATAATGATATATCCTGGAAGACAGCATTTTGCATCTTACCTGTCATTATAGTTATCACTGTTTACTATTATATAATGCAATTGCGTAATTATTTTGCATGTTCATACTATTATATACATTGGACTATATTATATAACTCAATTTTATTCAAAAATACTTTTCATGCATTATTTAAAACCTTGATGAAATAAAAATGCATAATTACAAGTAACATGGTAACGCAGATATTTACTCAAATGCATCCAGATGTGGTTTTGAATTTCTCCTTATTGATTTCTTAAGGCAATGATTTGAACTTTGCTTCATAAATCATATAATTAGGAAGTCAAACTAAACAGACACTTCACATTTCCACTCTTCCATCCGTCTCCTAGAGTCATTTGTCTCAGATAATATTTGCTTCAGTAACCAAAGGAATCGATTGCTCTATTAACATGGAAGGTGCTCACACACCTTTTCTGTGGCATGGTCCAATCTGCTCCAAAATGATTCAGTGAGGATGCTGACCAAGCTCGGTGTCACCACTCAGAGGGAATTAACATTTACTTACATATACTAAAGCCTGCTGATGTAAGCACTCGAAATAGAGTTACATACCTGCATTCAGAAAAGGGAAGTTATCCTTTCCACTGATGCTTTCTGGAGCTGTACATTCATATACCAGTGCACACTGGAAAAAGAAGGAAACAACAAATGACAAACATGGGCAAATAATCAACAAGAGAAACTGAGGTATTTTGTTCATAAAATCATACCCATTGTCTCAAATTTTTAAAATAATTTCTGTACAATTATTTGTAGTCTTATCTTTGTAACGCAGTTTGTTAAATCATTGTTAGTTGTACAAAGGAGTTATCATGCAACTTATGAGTTTATAAGTACAATGTATCTTGTACCTTTTATCAGTGTTTTCAACAGTGTGTAACTTTTTGCTTATATTTATGTGTAATATACTTGCATCATATAATTAGAAGAGTACATTTTGGCTCTGATTAAAGGCTACTCAGGGAAGAATACAAAAGTAGGAGTAGGATTGCACCTAATATGTTTTTACAGTTGTAAATTATCCTTGACAAGCTGAACTGTTTATGTCTTTCATTTGAGTTAAGTTTAGATCAATAAGAAGGAAATTATTCTCTTAAGTTTTAAGTAAAAGAAACTTTAAATTAAAAATAAAACATGTTGGAAGATCTGATTATAGAGGCCCAAAAGGTATTCTTTCTCCAATGAAATGATGGAAACATTTCACTTAAAGCATTTATGTGAATCATTTATTATAATGATTATGTGAAATATTTATAAATAAGCTGATCTACAGCATCTGTGTCTGTGAGATTAAGTTCATGACATTTGCAAAATTGATACTTCTCAGGACAGAAAGAGAGAAGGGACATAGAAGGGCACATTGACATGTTCTTACTGTGTGCTGAATCAGATTGTCCCAGACAATTAGTCGATGAGGTAGCATTCTCCCTCATCTTCCTGTAAGGCCACATCTAACAAAGGAAATGAAGCTCTCCTGGTCTCAGGAGGTAGAGACCAATTTTCACAGGGACATGTTATTACAGAAGGGTTTGGGGACATAGAGCACTCTCGAAGAAGAATTCGGAATTCTGTACTCAATTGCACAACCCCTGAAATCCTGAATGAAGAGTGTTAAAGTGAATGAACAGCTACAGACAAGAGAAACTCAGAGTAGAAGGCTAACAAAGCTTTAGTCAGCAAAGCAGGATGTCAGTCAGAAGAAACAGAAAAGAGAAGTACTTTCTGACACGCCAGTGGTGGGCACAGGAGATGGTTCAGACTGTCCTCTGTCCCCAGCATACTGCATGTATATCTTCTGTATTGGAGGGTTCTAACCTGACCTCTTACCTAGACCCCTGGCTATATCACCTAGCAATCATCATTTTCCTATGTTCCCAGGCATGGATACCCTTGGTATAGAGTGGGCCCAGTACCACCCAAAACGCAGGTAAAATGAGTTGAGCATTTTAGACATTCCTTTCTAGTCAAGGAGTTACTTCTATTCTTAGATTGACTTAGTCATCTAGAGAGATTGTAACTCATAAAGCAGCTAAAAAGAAGAAGAGGAAGAGGAAGAGGAAGAAGGAGGAGGACGAGGAGGAAGAGGTAGAGAAGGGAGAGGGTGGAAGGAATACAGACCTAGGTGTTCAATTTCTCCTTGTTCTAGAGTTCCTGATTTTGTTTTAGTTCCTTGCTTTCGACATTTTAGAATATTTTTAAAGTTGTTATGGAAATCTAGTTTAATTTTTGTCGTGATCTTTTTGTCTTAGAATCCTATCCATCCTGTCTCGTAGACGCACATCTAGCATTTATTTCCTCAAGTACATTTCCTTCTATCTCTAGTGAAAGGTAGGGGTCGGGGAGGTAAGAGGGAGAGGAAAAGAGAAGCTTCACAGCAAATATATCACATATAAACAAGCAAATATAAATGAAGCAAAAGGCCTGGAAAGTTCTTGGGTGGGTGTATCTAAGGGAAACAGCCATCCTTCTGTGGGTCCTCCAAGAGAATTCAACACTCAGGTGATCCTTGTACCAGAAATCCTTGAGCGACGGCCCACCTGTCCCTGCAGGAGTTCCTTCCCCTGCCAGCAGCTTCCTTTCACTGGGGCTGACCTCCTTTGAGAATCGTGGGTACTGGGATCACTGGGAAAGCTATGCTGTCTGTGGTCCCTAAACAGTTTGTTGAGGAAGGTAAATAATTCAGAGCATTGACTTTCATGGTACATTCTATATTTACAATCTACTACTTATGTCTCTATGGTGACTCAGTAATTTGTCAACAGGCAAAATGTACACTCTCCCAGTTCCCTTACTGGTTTTAATTTTATGAAGGAATGGACGGACTGCAATAGCTCTTAAAATGTCCTGCCCTCGAATTCATTGTTTCTGACCAACTAGAACTCACAGAAGCCCCTCCTCCTTTCTTTTACTTCCCAGCTAGTTTGGAAATGCACTTCTCCTACCACTAAAGTAATGGGCAACGAATCTTTGACATTTTTTTTCTTTTCTAAGTCTTTAATCTTTATTTTTATTTTATTTATTATCTCTAACTAGGTGTATAAAGGGATTACGATGTCAACATACCAATTTATGAGTACAACGCATCTTGATCAATGTTATCCTTGAATATTTTTTGGGGTCTGGTCGTGGGGCCTGAACTCTGGGCCTGGGCGCTGTCCCTCAGCTCTTCAGCTCAAGGCTAGAGCTCTACCACTTGAGCCACAGTGCCACTTCCAGCTTTTTTTTCTTTTTGTTTATGTGGTGCTGAGGAATCGAACCCAGGGACTCATGCATGCAAGGCAAGCACTCTACCACTGAGCCACCTTCCCAGCCCATATCCTTGAATTTTTTATCCATCCCATTTCCCACATGTCTTCTATTCCTTTCAGCCAACATGGACTGATAAGATCATCTTTCATAAATATGACTCCATTGGTACTCTGCTCTAGCCTACATCATGGCTATTACGGAGCAGTCAAGTCTAATACTCTCAACTATGGACGAGAAATCCTTTCATGGTCTGTCCCTGACAGCCTTCTGTAGAATGGCCGGATAGACTGCTCCAACATGAACATGACTTACAGGAATGATTTAGTGAAGTGCCTGGCCCACGGAGACCAGGCCACCATTCTACAGCTGTAGTTTCCCATGTGGAAAATCCTGACTCTATCCACTAAGTCAACTTTATGACCCCCCCCCCCCAACAGAAAGTTTGTACTCTTGTATAAAGCAGATAAAGAAATGTGACCTTCATCTGCTCAAATCTTCCATTCAAATGGAAAGGAAGATGGGTGATTTCAATCTAGTGACACTCTCAGTTTTAAAATCCTACTCCCGTAATACTCGCAAGATTTAGACTTATGACATAAAACCAGAAAACTTTTGATAAATAGTTACTAAATTAATATCAATTAACTCTTTACCAGGAACAGAATCCACTGGCACATAGCCTCCAGAGCATTAGGAAAACAAGCTTCTGCTGTTTAAATTAACCAGCCTATGGCATTTTGTTATAGAAGCACAGGCTGACTCACACAAACACCATTGTTTTGACTCCTCAATCTACACAAGAGATAACACATGGCTATGTAACTACAGTGCTAATAGAAGTTCCGCTTCTTTCTCCACAAAATTAGGCAGTTCTGTAGGAAGGAAGTGATTTTAGAGAGATCTATTTAAATTGTTTTCTCTCGTCAGTCATGTCTCAGTTAGTCCTAAATCACCGTTAGTAACAACCTGCCTTTATGTGCTCCATGTGGATTTTGACTGTGCACAGCCATAGAGGGCTCTGTGCATGTGTGTTTCAGAAATCTTCCCCCAGGTTTTGTGAGTGCCATTTGAAGAATGCTGACATAAAGGTATTTCCATACGTCTCTAAGCATTATGGATGGGATCCTGGCTTTCCTGCCCATTCTTCACGCAATCATAAATACTCTTATGGACTGTGGAGAGAGTTGAGTCACTTTGTACAGGGTTTGCAGGAGGTCAAGGTTTCCGAAGAGTCTCCAGGGTGTTAGGTGTTTACCATTTCTGTCAACTTATGACTCATACGCAGGGTGTGTTGTGGCTGCCACCTTCTATTTTCAGAATAGCTCAGTTATATCTCTTTTTTTTTCAGTTCACTTTACTGAGCCAGAAACCTTATGCAGGAATTTGGCAAGGAGTAATCTTAGGTCTCAAGTTCTTCATTTATGAAAAGAGCATGATTTAATGTTCATGGTGGCCTAAGAGCGAAAGACTGGAGGTCAAGGAGAGGCTGTGCAGGGAGGAGGCTGGCCAGGGGGCCAGGATTAGATTTAGAGTCAGAGAAAGCAGCTCTGCTTTAAAACGGGGAGGGTCCTGTCTATTGCTCCTGACTTGCTTCCCCGCTCTGTCCCCAGCTTATCACCCAAACCCCTCCTCTTCCTCACAGCACAGGGATGTGCGTGCATGATGGTGACAGGGTCTTGTGTGGAACTCTAAAGGGAAGAAGGCTGGAGGGAAGGAGTGAGCCCCAGGAGGAGTCTCGAACACACCACCCAGAGCGGTGCTGCTGTGAAAATGTCTCTGTGGGCTCAACATTTGCCAGCAGCCTGATTAGAAAGAAATTAGGCATCCTTGGAATAGTTTCAAGATAAATCCCAATGACTGGAAGCAGCACTGTGGCTCAAAGTGGTAGAGCACTAGTCATGAGCAAAAAATGCTCAGGGACAGCACCCAGGCCCTGAGTTCAAACCCCGCAACTAGAGGAAAAACAAAAATATATAAAAGCAACAATGACCCAAGGAGAGGATGTGAAAAGAGAGTAGAATAAAATTTGGTGCAATAGAGATGATCTTTGACTCTTTGGGGACATGAAGATGTTTGTTTAGCCTTTTTTTTTGGAAAACCAGATTTTCTTTCTCTATTCATTAATTTATTTTTGTGATGGCACTGATTTGTTAAGGATTGATTAGATATCATTTGTCATGTTTTCTAGACCAAGAATTAAACATATTCCAAGATAAGAAACGATAAAGTACAAAAATAAGTCACAATAGGTCCTATCAATAATATTCATCATTGAAAAAGGGATTATACTATTTAGACTTCATTTTAAAAAAGAAAGAAAAAGAAGTGCTAGCAGTTTTCAATTCTGCCCTGTGTATATCAAGTGCTTCAAAAAAATGGTAATTGCAGTCCTCAGAAAAGACTTTAGTCTAATATTTTACATTGTGTTTTTATTTCTTTAGAGCAAAGGCAAACAGAGAGAAAGATAAATCCCTGGATGTATATTCTCATGCATCATGCTTATATATTGGGCTTCAAAAAAGATACTTTACCACTGGGCACTGGTGGCTCACGCCTGTAACCCTAGCTACTCAGCAGGCTGAGATCTGAGGGTCATGGTTCAAAGCCAGCCCAGGCAGAAATGTCTATGAGACTCTTACCTGCAATTAACAAGCAAAAAGCAAGAAGTAGAGGTATGGCTCAAATGGAAGAGTACCAATCTTAAGCCCTAGTATTTGTACCAAAAAAGAAAGAAAGAAAGAGAGAAAGAAAGAAAGAAGAAAAATAGAGAAAGAAACAAAGAAAAAGAGAGAGGGGGAGGCCATTTTACTTCTGGCTAGCGTTATATCCCCTCCAGAGGTGTTCCTCCATTAGATCCTGCTTCCAGCCTCTCTATATAATCTCACAGGGCACTAAGCGGTTGTTAAATCTTCTGTTCCAATGAAAATTAAATCCAAATTAAAACTTGGACTCTTTCCAAGAAAGCTTTGGGAACCGAGAGCAGGTGACTAGCCAATCGCCCTCCCAGAATCCCCCATGGGATTGATGATGGGTGAATGCAGCAGTGATCAATAAGTACTTTGCTTCCGGCTGAGAGGAGGCAGTGTCCGTGCCAGGGCTGGCAGGGAAGAGAGGGTGTTTCTGAATGTTCTGTAGCTTTGCATCGTCCCACGCCAATGGGTCTCTGGTTCACAGATGACACACACCTATATACTCCCATCCATGGCTGACTTCAAAGCTGTGGTTCTGATGAGATTTCAGAACCGCCGAGTGTCAGTGAGACAGGCATCTGGGAGAGCTGGTCATTTCTGGTTTAAGCTGTGCAACGCTGTGGCTGAGAGCCTACCTTTTGCCCCTGTACATCTGTGGTGGTGTGGTCGGCGTCTGCATCCTCCGTCTCCCCCATCTTCACCACACTGACTTCTATGGTTCCAACCACTTTGCCACCATCGGAAGTTCTGCAAGCAGAAATGAAATGCAAAGGTAGAGGTCTTGTTTGCCAAAATCTGTGTGTGTGTGTGTGTGTGTGTGTGTGTGTGTGTGTGTGTGTGTGTGTGTGTGTGTGTGTGTGTGGTGTGTCTGTGGTGGTACTCAGCTTGAACTCAGTCTCTTTCCTCTCTTTCTCTTCTCCCCCACCCCAACTCTCTTTCAGCTTTGTAGCTCACGAGTGGTACTCTCCATATCCCTGGCTCTAGCTTTTTGCTTTTTTGCTGGTGAACTGGGGGTAAAAATTTCATTGACTTGTCTGCCTGGTCTGGCTTTGAACCCTGATCCTCAGATCTCTGCCTTCTGCGTAGTGTGTTGTTTTTAATTAAACAAAACCACGAACTAATAGGATAAACCGTACACTGCCAAAAACAACCTCAAGAAGGGGAAACTCCCTAACATCTATCAGGAGTAACCACTGAGACAGCCTAGCGTGTGCGTTAATACCTGTGGGAAACCATCCAGTTCTAGAACAGCATCAGCTAGGCCTGCCCTGTGTCAACCGCATGAGTCCATGACTCCATGGCTACCAAAGAAATAACCACTGAGTAATGCAGAAAAGACTCTATGGCTAGGTTACTGGCTACAAAATCTGGTATTTCTTACTTCTCCACCATAACTTTCCTTCTTATACTAACAGGTAAAGAAGGTTCTCTCTGAGCCAAAACAGGTACGTGTAAAGCAGAATAATTCTACAGTTTACTCAGTGCAACCCCTTATTCTTTAGATAAAATAAAGCAGGCCCTATAATGTATGGAAGGACTTATCAACGGGACAAAATGGCAGCCCCAACTCATCATTTGCAAGTCTACAGCTCCTTCATCAATACTGAATGTTAATAATTCCATTCATGTTACCACTGTGATTGTCATTATTTTCATCAGCATGAAACATTAAATATGACATTATTAAAGAAAGCCAAAAATATAATTACCAAACTAAGATTTTCTAGTTTCTTCATCTGGACAAAAAAAAAATCCACAGAATTAATGGTGCCATTATACCATGGCAACACTATAACACATACTAAACTTCCCTCCGGCCTTGCTGGGATGAAGGCAGCAGGCCACATCTCAGGGCACGTGTGTTGCTGTAGCTTTGGTCTAACTGGAATACACTGAATAACGGCGGGCACCACGAGACCTAATTAACTTTGTTCTTTTCTAAAATTTGTTATCTTTAACACAAATACCAGTGGTTTAATTTCTTTTAGTCACTTCCTTCTAAAATGCTGCTGCTTTGTTATAAAAGGCATTAGGAAAGGGAGATAGGAAAATTAGTATAAGTAGTTTACCCAGATGCTAATTAAACAATGAATTAATTAAATAAAAAGGAAGCATAATTATGTTGCTAGATCATAGCAGTTTTTTCTCAATGAAAGAAAAATGTACCAACTTTGAATTATGTTTTTAAGGAAATCAGAATAGGAAAATCCCAGTGATACTTATATAACTAACATCCTGCTTCAATAAAATAATGATATGCACACATATCTCTTAAGCTGAAATTATAATTTCTTACTACTATATGAAGTAAAATGCTTCTTAGTGTATTTAAAAATCAGTGGAAATTATAATATTGATTTAATTATATGACATTAAAACTGAAAACAGTATAAATACAGATTACAACACAATGTCTGATATTACTGAAAACTGGGATGGTTTTCAATTACTTATTAAACCATTACCTATTTAAATATGACATAACATTTGTCCAAAACCATAATGCATCATATTTCTGGGTAATTTACCAATACCTACTAAAGAGTTTCATAAGAAATTCTTATCAGTACTGTGAATTTTTTTCTAGAAATTTGTGATCTTTCACCTCACTATTGATGATCACAAATAACATCTTTTCCTTCTCAGAAGGAATTAACATTTTTTGCTTCTGCACACTTAAATTTCTAGAAACCCAAAGCTTATGTATGGAATTATCAATTTTTCACCCAGCTAAACCCAAGTACCAAAGCTAATGATTGGAAACAGTAGGTCAACTCTGCACAGCCTCTTCCAGGGTTGTCTACTAAGACAGTATATGTCATAATGCTTCTGAGTGAACTCAAGGGTGGAGCGGCAAGGCAGCCATATGGAGCTGTGTCTTCCCTTTGTAGCTGGAGCCTTCTTGTGAGGGCTACATTACGTGAGATGGTGAGTGCAAGGTGCTTTGCCTTCCCACACCTAGATCCTAACTGCCGTATGCATTCAGTAGCAGCATAAATAGAGTTGCTATGGCCATTGGCTGATCAAATTATATTGTGTTCAATTCTCTCTGCAGAAATGTTCCTGAGGAGGATATCCAAGATTGCAGCAGAAAAATAAAAGGTATCTGCATTTTCAGGGTGATTCAAGGCTCCCTGGAGACACGGGGACTTGCTGATGACAGAGAATGCTAAGAGGCTTACATTCCCAGCACTCCTGCCACTGTACACGAATTTGTAACTATTGAAATTCAAACAAATCTCCCCAAAATGCTGAGCAATGTACAGTAGTTTGATTCCCTTTTTAAAGGATCTGCCTATTTCTCAATGATTTTTTTCCCCTTTTCTCAATGTCTTCTCTACTTCTTGAGCAGAAGTAACACGAAGCTGAATCAGCTGAATCTGCTGGTTCCATAGAAGCCTAGCATCAAGTTTTCTCTGAAATCATTTGAGGCATGTCATTCCTTGAGTTCTTTAAAGTGCATCTCCTCACAGAATTATGAGGGACTGAAAGGAGAACTTAGGGTATAAAGAAATGAACCCACACCATTCCAAAATGCATCTCCCCTATTACAAATAAAAATATAAGGGTAGGATGATACTACCCCGAAAGTAATGTACTTACGATCTAATTAATGAAACACTAACCCCTCTATACAACACCTTAAGAATAACAATAAAATTATATTTTTGAAAAATAATATAAATAAATAATGAGGACAATCTGTTTTCTACTTGTTTGTGACAACTTATCATGTAAAGGGTGTGGATATAAAAAAAAACCCTCTTTATTTGAGGGTCACAAATGAAATAATCTCTGACATGTACACAAAGTTCTTCTCTGCTTTGATTTCATAGAGATTATTTTTAAGGAGTTATTTGTCAAGGTTTAACGATGCCCTCAAGTATCATCACCCATCACCCATCATATTGGGGAAACTTAGTCGTAATAGCTTAAGCATTGTTCACCACTAAGATTCAACTGGATTTCAACTACTGGGAAATTGATGGCATCTGACAGAAAATGCTCTGAAGAGAGTCTTGAACTAAAATCGAGAAACTCAAGTTCTATTTGTAGCTCAGGTAGAGATTTGCTACTTGAATGAGTACATATTATTTTATTTCTTTGGATTTCAATTTCTTTTTACTCCAAGACAAAAAGGGGGGTTTCTCCAGCTCTTCTGTGATAGCTTTCTAAACCCCATGCTCTAAACACGTGTATCATTTCCTCCTATGCATTGCTGCCATCGTGGGTGGAGAAGGGTTTGAAGGACACCGCAGGCACATGCTAGCCCCTCTTGCTCTCTGCATTCCCTTCCAGTCTTTCCCCCAAACCAACCAAATGGGTGTCACACACTTGGGAATGACGGAACAAATCTGAGTGAACCAGGAGCAGAAGTGTTTCTAGGACTTCACATGCAGATACAGTAACAAATACCTCAGTCTACATGAAGAGAAAGGGTCATTGCAGTAGTAGATTGCCGATGAAGTCAGAGAGAGTCATAAGAGAAGGAAAAGATGAATAGTTCATGGCTCTGCAGCACTTGCATTGCAAGGTCAAGTTCCTTATCCAGCAGCAGAAAGGTAAATATTTAGCCATGCAAAGGAGAGATGGGGGGTGGGGCAGGAGATTTACGCAATATAAATTTGTACTTTCGTCTCTCTTGGTTATCAGATATACAATACATGAATGATTAAGGCTCTTTAAAATCCGCTGTACAATAAGTCCCCCAGTGATTCAAATGAAATATTCAATCGCACATACTGAAATATGCAAACACTTTCTGAAGATTAAAAGAAAATATAAAACCTGTGTGCTAGGGGACGGGGAAGAGGTTGGTGGGAGAATGTATACTTCGCAGGCACTGTGAAGGCCCCGGGTTTGGTTCCCTGCTGTTATGAAAAGCCTTGAGACCACAGGGGAGAAAATGACGGGGGGATGAAAATCAAAGCGGCCCTATGCTAAATTGAGGCATTGAAGGTATTTCAACCAGCATCGTTCAGAGGGAGGAGGGGCAACTAGAAAGAAAAGCAGAGAAGCGGTAGCAACCAATGGTAGGAAGGATAAAAAAAAGTCTAGGGTCCCAGATACCAAGTAACTAAGGAGTAAGTGATCACGCACTGTGTAGATATGACTACAATGGAGCACTGAGGATCAGTCACTGGATGCGGCAGCATGGGCTGCGGCAGACCATGACAAGACTGCTGTGAAGGTGACAGGGATGAAAGTGAAGAGGACAGTTCACAAGACTATCTGAGGAAGTTCTAGAGATGGCTCTGAAAAGGCTCTGCAGTGAACGGGAGCAGGGAAAGAAGTGTGGCTTAGAAGGAAATGTGGAAGACTGGACGGCAGCTTTTGCTGATGTATCTAGATAAAGATAGATAGATAGATAGATAGATAGATAGATATAAATTATGAGCAAGAGAAGGAAAGGACATAATTGCTAATGCTCTCAGATGAGTGAGAAGAAATGGAATCTAAATGGGAAGTGGGTATAAACCTATAGCAAGAGGACAAACAGAGTGGATGCACGTAGGCTGGGAATACAACGTGGGAAATTGCTAAATTCCTCTTTTCAATGAAACAGAAACCAGATAAATAAACAAAAAGAGGAAGACAGAGATATTTCAGATGTTTTAGGGATGAGATAATAAGTAAAATACTGTTCTCAAGCAGTGGGGGAGGGGGGTAAACACACAGAACTAGAGCTGAGCTAATACAGGGCACTCATGAGGTTAGAGACTACCTCCTCAGATGCCACCTGTAAG